CACAGCTTAATAAAAGCTGCTGAAGTTCAACTGAGCTGGGACAGGAAGGACGACTTCACTGGGGACCTTGTTGATCGGAAAGCCCAAGGGGCTCATCCTGATCTAGGTGAGCGGGGGAGAGGTTTGAATAGACCTCAGCTTCTGACGTCCGTTGGTGCTTCGGTGCCTGTTGATCGGGGGACCCAAAGGGCCACCTTGGCCTGCATCCAGACCGCCCAACTCTGACCAGTGTCCTACCACCTGGCCCAGTCGGTAGCTCATTGCATGTGAGCAGGGAGCCCCAAGGGGAACTCCCTTGCGCGTGCACGTTCCATCACAGCATCCCTCGTCTGTCCTTGCCCAAGTTAAGTGGGGAACCAGCAGAGTGGCTAAAGTGGTTTTCTCTGTTCAAAACGCTTGTTCACGATCAAGCCCCCCTTACCTTGACTGAAAAGATGGCTCACCTGCAGCCTGCAGTGTCTGGTCTTGCACAGCATACCATAAGTGGTACGTAGTATGATGGTGATTTGTATGATGATGCCCTGATGGCACTGGAGGACCGTTTCGGACGCCCGGAGGACATTGTGCATGCCAACCTGCGAGACATATTCGCCTGTCCCGCACCAGCCTATCACGAGCCAGTAGGGCTTGAACGTTTTCGTGCCACTGTCCACTGCGCAGTCACCGTTTTTCAAAACTTGTGTTACCATGGTGATCTCCATAGCTACGAAAACCTTAGGCGTGTAGTGGAGAAGTTCCCATCAGAGTTGAAGCAAATCTGGGGGGAGCACATCTTGAACTTGGAAAGACCTAGTCTAATCCATTTTGATACCTGGTTGCGTAAACAGGTGAGGGTAGCCCTCAACTACGCGGCCGTGTCTCCGGAGTAAAATAAGATGGCAACTGAGAAGAAGCCAATGAGACACATGCAGCGGTGACAGAGTGAGAAGAAGGCTGTCGAGCGACCTGCTCTGGTTACGGAGGCCATGACCGCTGGCAGGATCCGTGTGAACTGCAACGGACAGCATGAAGTAGGCGTGTGTCCTGCCTTCCTGCGGATGACGGTCGATGACAGAGCTCATTTCATTGCCAGCTCTGGCTGCTGCTTTTTTGCCTGAAGAAGGGACATGGTGTTCGAAATTGTCACTTCGCAAAGCCGTGTGGCATCGATGAGTGCAAAATGAGGCACCACCACGTGCTGCATGGAAGCAGTAGGGTGACTCTCCAGACCAACCGTGAGGTTTTGGGTCCAAAAACTGAAGGTAATCTTGTGGTAGCCGCAGCCCCGCTGGAAAGCGTTGCTGCAACAACTCTTCTGCAGATTGTACAAGTCAACTTGATCTTCGTGGAGAACAGCAAACACTTCGGCTGCAAACTGTTGAAGGACATGGTTTTGGACAGAGCTCGACGAAACTAAAGCAGGAGCTTGAGACATCAGGAGACGATGGTACCAGGATTATAAATCCCCAGGTCTTCTCGATAAAAGATATCAATGTCACAGTTCCTCGACTCCAGAACAAGAAACCCGAATAGAAGCAACTTCAGGACCTTGATCTCCCAGACTGTGCAAGGATGAAAGTGCAGCTTCTACTTGGTGCCAATACGATCAAAGCTGTTCTTCATTTGGAAGTAAGAAAGGGCAAAACTGGTCAACCAATCAACAAATTGACCGGTCAACCGGTCAATAAAAAAACCAACGGCATCAAAACCGCTTTTGGGTGGACCCTAACTGGTTCTGTAGAGGGTTTCGTACCAGAGAGAGCGCACTAAATGATGTTCATCAACAAGATGACAGCTGATGATGAGAGGTCAGCAATGTTCCAAAAGTGGTGGAGCACAGAATCATTTGGGAGCAAATTCGATGATGAAGGCTCCAGATCACAAGACGACATCAGAGCAGTAAAAATTATGGGAAGCACCACGCGAAGGCTGGACAGTAGATACGAGACGGGACTTTTATGGAAGAGGGACGACGTCACCTTGCCGAACAACAAGACAGTGGCAATCAGCCGACTTCGATCCCTGGAAAGGAGCCTGCTGCGCAAACTACAGTAAGCGGCCGCATGCAGAGAAGTGGAGTTCATAGTGAACGGATGACCCCTCACATACGTCAGATCTGACGCCACTGATATCGAGTCGCTGACGCCGAATCACCTTCTGCTCGGATGTGCTTGCGTCAACATGTCACCAGAAGTTTTCCAGCCCAAGGAGATCAACAGCAGACGTCGCTGGCGTCAAGCCCAAGTCCTGGCCACTTCTGGAAGAGGTGGAGACGAGAATACGTGCCTACACTGATGCATCGTCAGAAATGGCTTCATGACATCCGAAATCTTCGAGTGGGGGACGTTGTATTGGTGATGTAAGCAGATATCCGCGAGGATCTTGGCCGTTGGTTCGAGTCGTAAGAGTTTTCCCGGGTGCGGGCGGTGTCGTTCGTTCTGTGGAGATGACGTCAGCGGGGGAAGGCCTTACCAGCGGCCTGTCACCAAAGTATGCCTCTTAGAGAAGGCTGAGTGAAGGCATGCTGTATAAATCATTGGACGAGTTGAAGTGCTGCTTAGATGGGCTTGCATTGACTGTGGCTTTCCCTCCAGCCATTCATGACTGGTTATCCTTTGTTTTCTTTCTTTGTTAAACCCTCCCATCCGAAGGCGATTTCAACGCTCGTGGCTGATGGGCATGCTGCAACGGACCAAGACCTCGCCTGTGACGTCCGGTACGACCCTCGGCACGCCGTGGTCGGCTTCGTGCCCCCTCGGACGGACGGATGAGCCTACGTGTTCTGGCGACCTCGGAATACGGCGCTGACCTTCCAACGACTGATGCCGATCTGGGGGTGCATCAGCGCCGGCGAGTCCGGCCCCCGACAGGTCGTGATGGACTGCATGCTATCCTGCAACCGAGTGCATGCGGTGGGCACTTGCGGGCGTGTTCGAGCTCTACCTGCATGCACTCCGGCGATCGCCGGCTGCTGTCGCCCGTTGGGGTACGGAATGGTCAGCGCGGTGCCCGGATCTCGCCGGGTCTGCGGCCGTCGCTGCGCGCCGGTGGACTAGGCCTTCGGTTCGGGACCTTGGCTGTGTTGCCAACGTGCCGCAGTGAGTATGGTCTCGACCAGTGGCAAGACTCCTTGCACAGGAAGTGGTGCAGATATGTTTTTTGTGTTCGAAAATGTATTGTTGTATTCGTAAACTGGAGTGCCCACTCAACAGAAGCGTTCAGGGGGAACACCAGGGGGGGGGGGGGATGTTGCGTGCACAACGGTTGCGTCTGAGTGCTCCGTAGATGGCATCCGAACAGGGACAATAGGTGGTGCAGCGACAGGGACTACCGGCAAATGGCGCCGCCTCGATGCGCGGCCGTTAGTGTAGTTAAGCGAACCCGTTTACTTCGGGTTCAGATGAAGTGACGGGTGGCGCGAGGTTTGACGTGCGCCGCTTGAAGTCGCCTGTTTCGTCAACGGCGAAAATAGGACCAACTTTGAAGCGCAAACAAAAAAGCAAGCATGTAAGAAAAAATACAAATGTCTCAAAGTCCCTTTTCCGCCATCGACGACAGACCCACTTGGCGTGGTTCGGACATTATTCCAGAAATCCTGAACGGGGGGTAGTTTAATTGTCTAAGAGGTCACGTGGTAGGGAGTTTGGTTCTTGTTTGTGGCTCAATATCTTAAGACTTGTTATGTGATGTTTTGGTTCGAACATGGGCGCTGCGAGAGATGCCTTTTAATGCCTTTATCTAGAGGCTGCTAAAAATGACCTTCATCCGAATTTTCGTATAATTTCAGACGATAATTGAGGTGCTTTTTATGCTCCCAATCAATCTAAGACCTGCTCGACTTATGTGGAGAGTTTACGAACGCTAAAAATCACGCTATGTTTTATATCTCACAACTGAACACCGATGTCCCGAACTGTCGCACTGGTACTCCACCCAAATTGGCAGTAATTTGAAGTGCATGATTTTGGCGTCTGACATAGCGTTCCGTATATTGAACACCTGTTACTCCCACGTTGCGTTGCCGCTCTCGAACGGATGCGACTTAAACGTCCACAAGCTCCCGACTCGCATGGCAGGGTACAGCAAACGCAGCAATCCGGGTTTGGGGCGTTGAGCAGTGTAGTGCGAGTCCAGCGTTTGGGGTTAACACTCCCAGTTTTCACGTGCCCCCAGTCACGGAAAGCTGATCTCGTCTCGCCTCACCACATCGCCAACTGCTTCGACGCCACCAGAAGCCAGGCTCATCTCACAGGACCAGCCGTCAGCGGCTTCCACGCTTTCATAAGCAGGTCTATATTTACATCATCACAGCACCGACGGCCCATCACCAGAGTGTGCTGTCGGTGCCCTGGGCGTTCATCACCAGAGTTTGTTGTCCGTGCTCTGTACGCCCATCACCAGAGTCTGCTGTCAGTGCCCTGGACGCTCATCACCAGAGCCTGCTGTCGATGTCCTGGACGCTCATCACCAGAATCTGTTGTCCGTGCACTGGAAGCCCATCACCAGAGTCTGCTGTCGGTGCTCTGGACGCTCATCACCAGAGTCTGTTGTCGGTGCCCTGACGCTTATCACCAGAGTCTGCTGTCGGTGCACTGGACGCCCATCACCAGAGCTTGCTGTCGATGCCCTGGACGCTCATCACCAGAGTCTGTTGTCCGTGCACTGGAAGCCCATCACCAGAGTCTGCTGTCGGTGCTCTGGACGCTCATCACCAGAGTCTGTTGTCGGTGCCCTGGACATTCATCACCAGCCTGCTGTCGGTGCACTGGACGCCCATCACCAGAGCCTGCTGTCGATGCCCTGGACGTTCATCACCAGAGTCTGTTGTCCGTGCACCGGAAGTCCATCACCAGAGTCTGCTGTCGGTGCTCTGGACATCCATCACCAGAGCCTGCTGTCGGTGCTCTGGACGCTCATCACCAGAGTCTGCTGTCGGTGCTCTGGACGCTCATCGCCAGAGTCTGCTGTCGGTGCTCTGGACATCCATCACCAGAGCCTGCTGTCGGTGCTCTGGAGGCTCATCACCAGAGTCTGTTGTCGGTACCCTGGACGCCATACGCGTCATGGCGGTCGCAGAGGTCGCTGTAGATCAGCGGCGACTTCTCGTCCGGTAGCGGCGGCGCGCTGCTCACCGGCTCGGGGATGGCGCGGTCCGGCAAGCACAGGAACACCATCACCGCCACGAACTGACGACGGACAGGGAAGCGATGTCAGCATGGAGATCGAGGTCTCAGTGGCGTCGCTGAAGGATCACTGCAGATCAGGTCACTGCAATGCCGACGAGGCAGACGTTGGCAGCCCATTCGCGTCACGTCCATGTGCCTGTTGTCACCGTGGAACATCGATTTAGCGCGCCGGTAACGAAGCATTAACGAGAGCATCAAGACAAATATCAAACTGATCGGCTATTCATGGAGAAACCCATGAAGCACTCGCGCGAAAACGCATACAGGGATAAAAACACGAAAAACTCACCAGAACCATATGCACCACGATGATCATCAGTGAGGCGTACCCGAAGCCGAAGTGGTCGTAAAGCAGGCCGGCGAGACATGGTCCGACGAAAGCGCCCAGGGCGAACATGGAGGCCCACAGGCCCGATATGGTGCCGTATGTCTCCACAGTATCCGGGAAGCCACTGCGTCTAGAAATAGCGGCGACGACAAAGCTCTCAACCGAGCAGCCCGCCGGCGGCAATGCGCCTTTCCTGATGGTGTAATCCATGGGGGCTGATATCACTTTCATTTAAAATGGGAAAAATTTCCTTCCAGGGTGTGCGGTCCCATTATAATGTTTGGGCAGGTCCAAACTGTAAACAATTTACACCTTAATTTGCGCGTCCCCTTCTCCATTTTTTGGTAAATGAACATGTGGGAGCTTGCTTCAGTTAAGGCATCCGTCGATGCCACGCGGGCATTGCCGCCGTGCTCTGACCACAAGACCCCCACTCAGCTGGTGACCGCTCCTCCCGAGCAGCGGCATGGCCTCCGAGCGTGATGTCTGCTCACATGGCCGCGCGGTGGGCGTCCAAAAAGGCGGCCACCACCTCGGCGCCGAACCCGACGCCGTGGAGGGCGAGAGCGGCAGCTATCACTCCCAGACTCCTGTGGACACGGCGCAGCGCCGACCGATCAGCTCCCCGTACCCCCGCTGCCCGAAACAGGCTGCTTTACTGAGAATCGAGATGTCACGTGAGTTCCTGGCAACGTTTTCTTGTTTTGATATCTACTAAACACACGAAATTTTAGAATGTATTTCAAAGCATTTTGTTCGGCAAAACAAGCCATGCGTGTTTTGCCATAACTGACCTTCCATCCATGACTCAGCCATGGTATTCAAATACCTGGGTTTGATCAAGATGACTCTATCAACGATTTGTGGATCATAGAACTTTCGGATGAGTGGTAGTAAACTAACTGTTTATAAATGCTTAATGTCAGGCGTGCCTTGAATCGTTGGCATTTCGAAAAGGCATTCGATCTAAGTCATGCAAAGTCAACGCGAAGATGAAGTGAATCGATTCAAAATTCCTGTTAAGGAATGTTAGGATGCAATTTCGCCTCCCAACTGCACTCAGCTGGCAGCGACACCGGCATGCTCCACCGAATGCTGCAAGCGCAGGGCTCGATAATGGTACCTGGCTGCACTGAGCTGTCATGCCAGACGAAATCCCCTTCACTTGGGTTTACAAATGCTGATGCGACACCTAACCTAGATAGTGCCACGACCTTTATCTATCAAACCGGCTTTACATGCATCGTGGCTTTCTCCTACCAACGCACGGCCACATCCCTCAACAAATTAAACGGGTTAAATAAAACAGTTTCACGGCCAAAACGGTACTGCCTGCCGTGGTCTGTTGGGCTTTTTGTCACCAGATAAGAATGTCGAAGTAAGGTGTAGCCTGGCGGGCGAATATCATTTATTTCTTTGATTTGTACTGATATATGATTGCTTACAATTTTTTTATTTGGTAACAATGCGAAATAATATAGTTGATCAGGTTGAGCCATGACTTTTGCGGTTGACAAAACAAGCTATCAGACGTTATTTGTTCATGAAGCACGCATTGCATGCGTTGGTTTAAGACATAACTCAGTCAATGACAACCGAGGCAAGGCAGGCCTGCTTGCTTGAGACACTGAATGTGAAGTCTTTAAACCAGAAGAAATTTGTCTCGATATCAATAATTCTGCGATGCGTGTTGGTAGGATCGTTGTGTCAACATGAAATCATGTTTTTAAACCAGCCTAGGTTGGTGTTTATTGGGTGTGGGCCAATAATTTATGGACGGCGAATATCAGCACGGAATCGCACTGCATTTACAACCAAACAAACTTGGAAGGGATAAAATATTTTCTGTTTCACGCGCCCCAAAATAACTACTTGAGCCACAACGGAATCACGGCATTAGAATGTTCATCGACATAAATAAATTCTCAAAATATGAAGTTGTAATCTAAATCAGATCTGAATCGTCCAACGGGGGTCGTGATTCGATGGCGAATCGATTCTAAAAAAAATAATAAATCGACCGCCAGTGTGGTTAGCCACATAGCCTCAGACGGGCAGTTTGTCAACTGCTGAACGACGGTACTCACGGCTGTAAGGGCAGAAACGGCGCTGGTCCCAGCAGCGAGAACCCGGCGGCCACTAGCAGCGCGCCTGCTGCCGTGGCCTGCTTAGGTCGTACGTGACGGTCGCAGAGCCAGCCCCAGAGCGGTGCGCACGTGGCGTACACGGCGCCGGTGATGACGAACATCAGCCCCAGCAGCACGGGCGAGAGGCCGAACTGTCGGCAGGCCAGACCACTGAGGTCAGGAGGCCGGCAGCACAGACATCAGCCCTAGCAGCACGGGCGAGAGGCCGAACAGTCGGCACGCCAGACCACTAAGATCAGGAGGACAGCACCGCAGACATCAGCCCCAGCAGCACGGGCGAGAGACCAGGGCTCGGACGAGGGCAGCACGAGCAAAAAACGGGTCAGAATGTTTGAGAACATGCGTATATATATATATATATATATATATATATATATATATATATATATATACGCATATTCTCAAACATTCTGACCGCTGGGGCTGATGTCTGCGGTGCTTGTGTGTGAACACACATACTGCGGTGCTTGCGGTGCGGTGGAATATGTATATATATATATATATATATATATATATATATATATATATATATATATAGTGCAAATTGCTTAGAGAATTTGCGAGCTACCTGATAGGCCAAGTAGTTTGTGAAGTCTCTAGGGGGTTTGCAAACTCTGTGAGTGGCAAGATAATTTGCAAATTCAAAGAAAGTTTGGAACTCCGCAGGCAATTCACGAAATCTCTCAATGATTTGCCTGTGGCCATCTTTGGTACAGAAATGGTTTGATGATGCAATATTTTGCAGGTGAGTCGGATGCAAGTCATTTGCCCCTTTGAATGCCACTATCGAATTTGTTCGCATTAGACCCACATGAATCCTTCTCCATCCTTGAAAATATTCAGTTTGGTCAACACGGACACTGGCGGAAAGGTCGGGACGTAAGATCGACTCCACGCATTTAGCGCGTCCCGTAAGTCATTTGGAAGCGTCCGTAAAGATCAAGCGTGCAGTTCATCTGATAATTACATTTTGCTATGACGTGCAGTTCTGAATAGGACAGCATAAAAGCGAAAGAAGCTGTAATATTTTGGATTAAGTTTCTTTTTGACGATGAGAGTCACAATGACACGCAGTATATGAGCTCCGGGACATGTCTGTGAGTGCAGTGATCGTTGATGAGCTGCGGTCGTTGAAGACCCCACAGCATGACCCTAAGTTCACGCGGTTTTTTCGTTTTGGAGCTATGGCAGGGACAATCCATCCGGATCTAACCGGTTTGAGGGAATCTTGGCTGACCTTTCCCGTCGCAGGCTTGTGGGACCTCATCGGATTCTGGTCCTTGAGGTGGGAAAGTGTATCATAGATTGTATGTGGCAGTAGCCTGACATGTGCACACACACACACACACACACACACACACACACACACACACACACACACACACACACACACACACACACACACACACACACACACACACACACACACACACACACACACACACACACACACACACACACACACACACACACACACACACACACACACACACACACACACACACACACACACACACACACACACACACACACACACACACACACACACACACACACACACACACACACACACACACACACACACACACACACACACACACACACACACACACACACACACACACACACACACACACACACACACACACACACACACACACACACACACACACACACACACACACACATACATACATGCATATACATATATATATATATATATATATATATATATATATATATATATATATCGGAACAGGAGCAGGGCCATATGGGGAATGTCGGAAAGAATACATGAAGCTATCAAAATAAGATGTCAAGTCGCGTATAAGCAGGACTTTTGAAAGGCATGTGATCAGTTGGCGTGGTGATGAAAAAAAGTAAACAGAGCAATCGTGAAGTGCAAACGTAGAAAACAAAACGTCAGGCGGCCTGCTGCTGCCAGAAATTCAGCGCCAATGTCAGCTGAAAAAGGCGTGCGAACGCGAATGCCAGACCCCGTCCAGAAACAGCGCCAGCACTGTTTATCTAAATGGAGCGAATGACCGCACTCAGCACATCGCACTCACGGGTCAGTAGGCGAGGGCGGCGAGAGACAGAGTACGACTCGCGAATAGCCGGTCATGACTGACGCTGATTCCCGTTGCCGTCACGCGTGAGAGGCGGGCTCATGAATCTTTGTTTCACACGTCGATGGCTCCAGATCGCGGTCAGTTGGGTCAGGACAGCCCCTCAGTGCGATCTCTCACCGGCCTTAGGTGCGGCTCCAGGAGCACCACGATGAAGCCATTGCTGCATGAGGCGCAGGTGATGGAGAAAGCGGCCATGGCGATATCGGGCACGGCCAACGCTCTCCGAATACCGCCTGAGGGCAGATCAGCCAATCGTGGCAGCACATGGCCCACGCTGGCTGTACCAGTGATTAAAGTATGTATATCCATGCATATATATATATATATATACATATATATATATATATATATATATATATATATATATATATGTACACACCAAGTCATGATTACGAAACGTACAAAAACATTATTCTCTTTTCGTCGATCTAATTGACGTCCAATCTTTGACATGAGCATGTCTCACTTTACACCAGCCGCTTTTGGTATCCGTTTGAGAAAACACAATATCTTATATGCGTTGGCCCATGGTGCTAACTCTTACGGAGCTATTACGGACACAGAGTGCTGCCAAAAATCCTCGCCCAACTACAAGTACCCGCCAGTTCCACCGGTTGCGGAACACGTCGCGCACTTTGAACCCCAGCCTATGACAATCGTGTTCGCTGTGCTCGAAAATGTTCGGCTTTCACAATGATGTGCTCGTCCCCTACAGATTCGCTGTCAAAGTGATCATATTGCTGCGACCAATACAACTCCGACATCGAACATCAGAACAGCACACTCACACACAGCTTGAGTGGCAAGCGTGTGCTGTTGCTGACCAAATGATTTGCCTTGTC